ATCTGAAAGTGATGAAATCTGAGGTGACATTTTGCAAAAATAGTGGAAATAGTCTTGCAGTGGCCAAGAATTCCAGAAACTTCCAGGTCACCTGCTTACCTGAAGTTCAAAGCTTGCCTGATCCATGAAGAATTTTGTGAGAACTTCAGCAAACTGATTTATAGCACGGAAAAAAACCCTGGGGGAAGAAAACACTGGATAAAGAAGGCAACATTACGCCCTTTGAAACGTTTTCCCACCTATGTTAAAAATGAAACCAGTATACTGAACCTGGACTTGGCAACGGAAGACTTTAGAGAACAACAGAACACAGTCTAGAGACAAGGGCGAGGAAGTTGTTTCTAGAACTGACTAGATGAGCCACTGAGGACCGGATCCCAACTCAGAGCTGAGACTATAAAGCAGGCCTCGTGAGCCTCAGGCCAGGGCAATTCGTACTCTATGATAACGCTTCTCTTTAAGTCTAGGGTACTGATGCAAGTTTTTCTCCTAATCTGTACTTAGGTGGGATGAGTTTTTCTACTGGGTTATCAGGACCATGTAGAGTTAGCATACAGCTTATAATAATGATTTTCTTTGTTTAGCTCATTAAAAAATTCATTTCATTTCTATGTGACCAGTATTTGTTGTGAGCCATTAAGTGTAAGGTGCTGCTTTGAGTGCTGTGTAGAAAGACACCCACTCATTCCTGGTCTTGAGAAGTTTACAACTTGGTGGGGGAAATTTACAGCTTGTAAATCTAACGGTGAGACAACACAGAATGTGAAAACAATTCTATGAGTGAGTTTCAAAGGGGTATGGAAAAATCAAAGGAAGATAAGACAGCATCCAGGTCAGAAAGGCTTCCTTTGGAGGTGACATTTGAGAAAGTCCTTAAGGAATGGCTGGAATGCTGACAGATAGAGATCATGGGGACGGCATTGCAGGTAGAAGAAGCCATGTGAAGCAAAACAGAGGACATGTCCAGGGACTTGGAAGAGGCCTTGTGGTAGGAACACAGGTTGCACACATAGGGAAATAGTGGAAGATTAGGCTAGAAAATCAGGGTGGGCCTTGAGTGGCAGGATGAAGGAGGTCATGTGGAACCACTGAAAGACGCTGGGGAGAGCTGAGGCTGAAGATTAACACGAGAGTGACGAGGAGACCAGGAGAGAGAAAAGAGAGTAGAGAGCCTGAGGTGGAGCAGCACTGGCCCAGGCGAAATCCAGATCATGAGCACATAGGTTAGCACTGTGTGTGCAGGAAGAGATTGACTTTGCAGATGACGGATTTAGCAGCACTTCCCAAAGCCCACACTGCAGACCCAGGTATTCAAAGTCAAGTGCCACGGGTTGTCTTACCTGCTCTGTGTCATATTCATGATCATCCAATCTTTGGCATAGACATTCTTCCCGATCAGATCCTTAAACATGATAAAAGTTTCCATGAGGAAGTCCTGCGGAGAACAAAGGAATGGCTGGGGTAAAACTGGGTCACGCTCGCAGCTTCTCTCCCAGCATGTGGACAAGGGACACTACCTCAGTGCAGGATGTTCTAGTGCCATAGGAACAGCTTGTCATTTTCATAAGGCTTTTAGAGATAACAAAGCATTCTTATAGCTAGCTGTGATTGGATTTTCACATCGTGTAATCTTATCAGGAAGATGAAGACAAAAACAAATTTATCCACATTTTATAAATGGAAGAACTGAGGCTGAGAAAAATTAAATGACTCGCCAAAGGTCACAGAAACTAGGTAGCAGGAGAGCTGAGATGAGACCTCGGGGTCTTTGGACCCCGAGTTTACAGGCTTTATCTCTTTAGTCCTCACCTGCTATGTAGTATCTGAATGTCTGCAGCATGTAAAAATAATTCACCAATAATTGTGAGAAGACAGATACTTTTAATAGATCTGAGTTCAATTCTCCTTTATTGTGGTAAGAACAGCACAAAAATGCTACATGCAAGAAGCAGAGTCATGACTCTTCCTATTCTAGGAATGTCATCACATGCAGCCTGGAATAGGGTCTAAATGGTCCTTAAAATGAGATTATAACAGTGATGTAATGACAGTAATAACTAATAATGTAAGTATACAGAGCACAGAACAGCAAAAACATGTATTCTAGTCCACAGGGGGCCGTGCACAAAAAGTAATGCAGAAATAGCACAATTAGACTGAAAATAAAGTTTTGAAAGCATTTTTTATTAGATAAATCTAGATAATTTCCACTGGGATTTCTGAAATAGAAATCCAGTCCAATTTCTCTGGCACTAGTCTATACAGTTCTACTTTATGAAGTAGACCGTGTAGCTGCAGGAACACAGTACTTGAGAGGCGGGAGGCCTGGGTTCTATTCTCATGGTATTTTTCTGAAACACTGGTCAAGTCAGTTAACTTCGTGCATTTTGGACGCTCAACAGCACAGGAATACAAGTGTTTCTGGCTAGAAGTTGTGCTACCCTCTCTTTGTTCTTCTGGTTCAATGGCAAGTCAGACTTATCTACCCCCAATTCTAAAATCATAGGCATATCTCATGAATTAAAAATTTTTACATCCTACATTTTAAATGCTTCCACCAATTTATGAACCATTCCATTAACTTCTTTCAAACCAGTAAGAATTCATGGCTTGTGAAGCCAGGATTAAGTTTAGATATTGGTTATCTGCTTCTGACACACTGTATCCACATTCAACGCTGGGCAGTCTAAGTTAATGAAATGGAATAATAAAGACAACTCACAGGGCATCCCAAGGCCTCATCTGATCCACCACTTCCCAGTGTCTTTCATGCGACTTCCTTGGAAGGCAGCATGAGAGACTGAAAGGACAGTTTCCCTGGAGGCAAAAGGCCTGTTTACTGCTGTTCTGCCGCTGAGGACTGCGAGTCAAGGCAGTTACCTAGTTTCTCCAGGCCTTGGCTCCCTCATGGGGATAATGATCCTTTATAACTAGACAACACAAGTGAATAAGAGCACCATCGTTCTGGCAAACAGGAGTTAAACCTGTCTTTTCTTACTTTACAATGGAGCCAAATCGTCAAGAGTTTGAATTTAGAACTTCCCTGTTCTACCTGCTTTCTGGAGAAAATTTGGAAAAAAAAAAAAAATCACCAAAATATTTCATGTTAAATTTTATCTTATATTACAATAATAAAATTATCAGTGTAAATAGCTTAGTCTTCATAGGCATTAACTACAAGCCAAGCACAAAACTAGGCATTTTCCATGCATGGACTCAATCAACACTCACATTAACCCACAAAGTAGGTATTATCTAACAGATGACGAAACTGAGGTTACTGAAGTTAAAAAGCTTGCCCTAACTTTCAGGCCAGGAAGTGGAATGGTCAGAATTCAAACCCAGAGCTGGGTGTTCTGAAGCCGGAGCTCTTCCTTGCTACACCGTCTGCCTGTGCAGAAGAAAACACGGCCCCCTGGACTTCCACCTCCTCTCTCCTCCTTCCTGATTCCTTTTCACCTGGTCTCTGCAGGTACATCCACATATTGCTGGGTTCCTGTACCATGCTGCCTGCCACAGCATGGCCTCAGTGGAGGCCTCCTAAGGTCGCTAGCTTAAGCCTCATGGTCCAACACAGCATTATGAGAGTCTACCCTTGGACCAACTGAGAATAATAAACAGTACTTTCTCTGCAGGGCTTGTATGTGAGACCATCATGGGGGCATCACAGAAAGGAGGGTGACTGGCGAGGAAGGAGCTGTATATCGCTGGGGACACTGGCCACACTCTATCACTATAACACTAGCAGAAAGAGAAAACCTAGAATACAAAGAAAACTGGAGTAGGCATGGATGACGGGAAGTCACCCAGAGCAAAGCCTAGTGCAATGTGGCAGCAGTTTGCTAATCCAGCCCCATGTCCAGGCCACTGCTCTGCAGGATCAGATAACATCGTCATGGATGTCTTAGCAGCCACTAACAATTCCCAGAAGGGAAATATCCTGGAGCAGTAGCCAGAGGACTAACTTTGCCTCTTAGATGGATGAGGCTACTTCAAAAAGTTTGTGGAAAGATTTGTATTATCTTTTAATGCTATTTTTTCCATGAGCTTTCTGAAGTAACTTTGTATTTTTTTTTTTTCCTTTTTGTCTTTTTTCGTGACCGGCAACAGATCGCAACCCTCAGTGTTGCGTCCACACCTCGCTCAGCCAGTGAGCAGGAACCGGTCTGTATGTGGGATCTGAACCCTCGGCGGGAGCGCCGCCGCGCTCCCAAGCAGCGCACTGTAGCAGTGCGCCACCGGGCCGGCCCCATAACTTTGTATTCTTAACAGCAACTATGAGAACAGTTTTCCTGTTTATTATAAAAGGGAACAAAATAGTTTCAACTGAAGATAACTTAGATGCACTGGAAGGGGCAGGGGATCACCTCCTCGTTTCTCTCTCCAAAACGATCACATCAACCACATGTTAGACGACTTTGCACACCCCTGCCTTCCTTCTAGAATCTTTGCCATGGAATGAGCAACTAAGATCTCCTCTTTCCAGAGCAAAAAAGATGTCCCAAATGTTTCTAAATGAAGGTTCTCTCTACATCCCAGAGAGGTAGGGGGTGTGTGATGATCTTTTGGTACGTGTATTATACACTTCTTCAAACCCGTCAAAGAGAGAAAGCAAGAATCGACCTTTCCTCCTTTTTGTAATCTCTGTGGACAGCCACACAGCACTGCAGGGGGCTGGGAGGAGACCCCTGCATGCCTGTTGCTCAGTTTCAATACTTTTTTACCAAACATAGCAAAGTTCTCAGGTTACCAGGACCCAGTGAAGACAACTTACAATGATGTCTTGTCTGGTTTTGAAAGTGCTGATATAGTGGTTGTAGTGGCTGTCGTCCATCTGCTGGAGGATGGCAATCATGCAAGCCACAAAACTCCCCTGGAAGGAAAAAGAAAACACAAATCTAAGACTCCTCAGACCACCTGCTGACAACTGAAGATTTGGGTGCCATATACTTTAATTTTTCCCACCCAAGACCTATGCAGACACCCTACCAATCTGGAAACATGCTGTACGCTAAAGGTCCGAAGGGCATACACTTTGCTCTTTCTGCTGTACCTTCCTTCCTCCCAGTCAGAGTTAAGGAATCTGGAGGGCTTTACCCATGTAGGTCAAGGGACACTAACTTGAAGATCTCAACTAGATTGCTAGTTAAGATGTAACAACTTGTAGGGCTTGAGTTTCTTGTTGAGGCAGAGTTGTAGTACAGAAGTCCATGGAGAAATGTCTGAAATACTTAGATCTGCTAAACGAATCTGAGCATGGAAGGAGTATAAGAGGAAAAAGAGGGATTGTGACCCTGAGAGTGAAGGAGTGAAGAACAGGAAATGATAATTCCCTGCTAAAACACTGAATGCCACTTCTCCAACTCCAGAACCCTGTAGTCTGTTATCCCCAGTAGGGTATCCATGTGGAATTGTGGACTTGACTTGAAAAAAGTGAATGAATAACTAGATGATTAACATTATTTCTTTTTTTGAGGTCAAGAATTACATATTCAAGATGCTTTCCCCTAGTCCAAATAGATTTGAGTCATAGACTAATTTTCTGGCTAGAAGGCAAACATTTAGGGTTATTATCTTCTTGGTTCTCATGTACTTATGAAAACAACACCAATTTAAATGAATTTGGCACAGGGAAGATGAATATACAGCTGTTTTGGGGGTGGAGGAAATGACTTCCCAAACACGAAAACAATAAAAGACTGTCCATGTGTACTTCTCTCTGAATAAACGTCTGTCTTAGATGGTCTCTTTTGTTTTAAAAAGTTTATTTTTCTAATTATAAAGCAATGGAAACTTATTGTACTAAGTCTTTTGATATATATCACAAATCATCACATAGTTTGCATTTCTCCCAGTGTCTAACACTATTTGTTTCTCCAGGGCCATACCTACTCTGGCTACTAGAGTTTTATTTAGTATCACTTTTTGTTAATTTGCATTTCCTTTGTTCTGAATTGAACATTCTGTCCACATGATTTCTGGGCATTTGTTTTCCTCACTTTGCTATTTTCTCATATTCTTTACTCCATTTTTCTATTAAAATGACAACTTTTTCTTAGTGGTTTATAATAGCTCTTTGTATATTAAGGCTGCAGTGGATTGAATGGTCCCTCAAAGTCAATGAAGTTTAATCCCCACTGTGACTACTAAGAAGATGGGAAATCCTATTATGGCAATCAAAAGGTGGAACCTTGAAGAGGTGATTAGATTCTGAGGATCATGCCATAGTGAATGGATTAATAATGATGGTCATGGGCATGGTTCTGAGCGCTTTAAAAGGAGAGAGAGCACATGAGAGTCTCTTTCTCTCTGCTCTGCCATTTTCTGCCATGTGAGACCCTTGTGTTACTTCAAAGTCACCACTAAAGAAGATTCTCACTAGATGTGTTCCCTGGACTTTTGACTTCCCAGTCTCTAAAACTGTAAGCAATACATTTCATTTTTTAAATAAAGTACTCAGTTCTGTGTTCTTTGTTATAAGCTACAGAAACAGACTAACACAAAGGCCATTAGCCACCTGCCATATATGTTACAAATATAGTCACCTACTGCGTAATGACATTTTGTTTAATGATGAGCAACATATACAAAGTTGGTCAGAGCAATAGGCTGTACCATACAGCCTAGGTGTGTAGTAGGCCATACTATCTAGGTCTGTGTAAGTGCCCTATGACATTTGCACAATGACAAAATTGCCTAATGACACATTTCTAACAATATATCCCCATTGTTAAGAGAAAAATGACTAGTTTTTATAGTTTGGTACTTGACATTTGATTTGTATATATATATTTTCACATATAGAGCTTTAAATTTTTTATCTGGTAAAATCTATTTTTCCCTTTTATGGTTTCTTTTAACTTTTAAAAATTCATGAATTCTTTTTCTCATAAAAACAGGTACGTATTTGTATTTCCTTCTAGCTGCCCTGATTTAATTTTTTTACACTAAACCCTTTATTCCATCTGACATTTATTTTGAGGGTATAGCATCAAATAATGTTTCCAAATTGTCAATTTTCCAAATAGCATCTATTAAAAGCAAATAACACCTATTAATAAAATTTATTAAATAACATCTACTTTCTCTATTGAAAGGTAACACAATTTTCATATAATCAAAAGTCTTCCTTTTAAATTCTCTCAATTCTGTTCCATTGATATTTGTACTCTATTTCATAAGTCCAATACTATTTTAATTATTGTTTTTAAATCTGACAGGCAAGCTCTCCATTATTACTTCTGCTTGGCTATTCACTTCTTTGTATCTCATATTTATTTTACTCTCATATTTTTGTGACTAAATTCAATGGAATTTTTCTTTACAATCTCTAAATAGCTAATGTTGTTATATAAAAAGGCTACTGGATATTGTTTTTTATTTTAAAATCAACTAGAGTTTAATAAACTGATTCATTAGTTTTATTAAAATTTTAGTTAACTCTCCTGGGTTTCTGAGATGTGCTGGTGCTTTCAGCTAAAAATAATGACAATTATGCTAATTATTTTTTCTCTTTTTCAATATTTACATTTAGCATCTGCTTCTTGTCTTATTACATTGGCTAGCAATTATAAATAGTGTTGAGACTGAACATTGAATTGTGTTGACATTGGTTCTCCTTTTTATGACCATTGAGTATTATGGTATCTAGTGATTAAAAAATGTCTCCACCTTTTCTTAATGTGGAGTAGATGTTACACTGATCATATACCATTTTAGCATCTATGGAGAGACTCAATCAATTCAATTGAGTTGATATATTTTATCAACAAATTCTCTAATATTTAACTATTCTTGAATATTTGGAATAAACATAAGCCATGTATGTTTTCTTTTTGTACATTTCTCTTTGCGACTGCGTCTGTGTCTCTTTGTACCTCTTTCCCATGCTTTTTTTTCCTTCTTACGTTTATCTTTCTGAAACATTCTACTTTGCTTCTCTTGGTGTCTCTATCACTCCAAGGATCTAGCCTGTTCCTGCTTCCACCACCTTATTTATTTATTTATTTTTTTGTCTTTTTTCATGTCCGGCAACGGACCGCAACCCTCAGTG